GATCTTAAACTTCCAGCCATTAGATCTTGTTATACCGGACTCTGCTAAATTGAAGACCCTAGTATTAAGTATTTGTTCCCCATCTAGATACTCAGACTGTGATTAAGTCATTCCTTAACTTGCTCTCTATAAAACTAAATAGATTGAATTCCTAGAGTCTGTCACTATAAGGCATGTTTTTTAATCCTTTAATCATTCTCATGGTTCTTCTCTGAATCCTCTCCAATTTGTCAACATCCTTTTTTGGACTGTGGACACCAGAACTGGAGACAGTATTTTAGCAGCAGGCACCCCAGTGCCAAATACAGAGGTAAAATACATAACCTCTCTACTCCCACTCAAGATTCTTGTTTATGCATCCAAGGATCACATTAGCCCTTTTGGCCACAGCATCACACGGAGAACTCATGATAGTGGAGGAATAGGGACACTCAGGAATCTTGAGTTCCAGTCATGATTATGGAAGGGAGTGTTCTCTAGGGGTCACAGACCCTTCTGCCTCTGTTTCCCCACAAGCCTGACTTCTTCTGCCCATCGACTCAATGCTAGTCTTCCTTTCCCTACCCCACTGACTCTCAGTCATCCATTCTCCCCAGCACCCAGTCCCAGTCTCTGCATCCAACTGCCTTTCCCCCCCACTTGTTCCCATTTCCCTGCGCCACCCACATCCTAAGCTCCCAGTCTCTCTTTCTCTTCCCCCACTCTTTGCCCAACCCCTTTGCCAGTCCCAGCCTCTTAGCCAAGGGGGGGAGATAGGGTCTTGCTGGGCTATCTGTCTGATCTTAGTCTCCCTCTAGCAGCTGGTTTCTGCCTGCCTCCCAGTCTCCATAATCAGTCCCAAGCACCACGGCTTCCAGCTTCCATCTCCCCGCAACCTGCTTGACTAAACCTACTCTCTCTGGCACCCATAGTATTGGAGAGAGAGACATTCCTGGTTTTCAGTTCTAATTCCTGACACTGCAGCAGCTGAGAGCAACAACTACAGGGATAGTCCTGCTCATCCATCTGCAGCCCTGGGTCGGTGCAGATGGAATCTTCAAAGAATTTAGCAGCCAAACTATAACAAGTCATTACTGAGCTTGTGCAATTTCAGATTTTTCAAAAGCTTGTAACTGAATGAGATTTGGGTGGTGTTTCCAGGGAAGAGCAAGGGGCACATCTCTGACAAAGGCCAACCCCTACCAAATTTCAAAGCCTTTCTTCAAAGCATGGAAGCACTAGGGATTCTCAATGCCATTTGGTGTTTGTATTTTTTTTTAAAAACACATAGCCAAATACAACACTTCAGCATTAACAAATAGCCAGTACTGTTTTGGAAACATATTGAAAGTTCGCCAGGTTAGAGTATGGCTGAATCTCTGACACTCACTTTGGCACAACAAGGAGGATCATATCAAGATGTAGACCAATCTTATTTGTGTCCCACTAACCCTACTCTCCTCCTCACTGCAGCAACAACCTCCATCCCCTAATGCTGACATCTGAAGAGAATCTGCCTGTATTTTCCTCACTGCAGCATCAGGCAGTCCAAATGCCAGGAACAAAAGATTCACAGACCTGAGATTAGCATCAAAAGCTTCCTACAGCCATTCTGGAAGGTGGCGGTGGGGGAAGACTTAACAAGCCCAGGCCTTCATAAGAACACAGTGATTTCATTTAATCACGTTGTACCATCGATCCTCTCCACCTACTCCAAACTTTCTCCAGAAAGTGGAAGGTCCTAAGGCAGTGGTGGGCAACCTGCAGCCTGAATGCAGCCCATCAGGGTAATCTGATTGCGGGCCACGAGACATTTTGCTGATGTTGACCATCTGCAGGTGCGGCCCTCCGCAGCTCCCAGTGGCCGCGGTTCGCCATTCTCGGGCAACGGGAGCTGTGGGAAGCAGCAGGCTGCAGGGACATGCTGACCGGTGCTTCCCGCAGCTCCCATTGGCCGGGAATGGCGAACCGCGGCCACTGGGGGGGGGGGAGGGAGGGGAAGAGAAGGCGCCTGAGAATGGTCAACGTCAGCAAAATGTCTCACAGCCCGCAATCAGATTACCCCAATGGGCTGCATGCGCCCTGTGGGCCACACAGATTTCCCACCACTGTCCTAAGGTGTTTAGCCAGCTTTTTTCCCCCACTACCTGTGAAACTGACCGTCTGCAAGGTCACCTGCCTCCTCCTGATCTTACCTGCAAGCTGCAGACACCTCACCATTTCCTTCCACAGTAATTTGCATTAGGTGAAAAGGAAAAAAGCATTGTGTTCTTTTTCCTCATGCAAACTTCCATTGGAGGGACTTTTGAGAGTGAAGGGGCCCCCTTTGTGTCTCCTTATGGGCTGGGCTTGTCCCTTCATTAGCTCTGCCCAGTCAAACAACAGATTTCAAGAGCAGCAAAGTTAGTCAGCCACTCTTCCTAGGAGCACTGTTCCTGGAGCCACCTCAGCACGCAACAGTTGGGTCTTGCTGATATTTGAAACCAGTCTGAAAAGCTTGCAGCAGGTGGCCTAGCTGCTCATCTCCTTGCCCCTGCAGTTCTTCTGGTTAAAGTTTATATTTTTCAGAAGTCAGGCTGCCTCCCTGCTGCTGCTGCCATAAGGATCTGTGTAGAGCTATTTACCAGTAGAGCTTTATGGACAGCAGCAGCAGGGTTTCTTGCTTCCAAAAAGGAAGACAGAAGAGTAAAGACCTTTTAAGTATTGTTTGAGATTTGTATCTTCAACCTTTTAAACAGGTGAAGGTCAGGGAAGCTGGCCTCCAGCCTTCTTATAGAAGGATTTGTAGATTCAGTCTAGATTGCTGCATTGTAGTACAAGCAAAAATAAAACTAGTCAGAATTATTTAAAGGAGAACCACCACAACAAACAGAAGGAACAATAATTTCAAAGGCTGGCCATCGAGAAGATTCCCTTTGTTTACAAAATCAGAATCTCCCAAATGAATCTGCATTTTCAGCAGTTTTAAAAGTTGAATTACAAATGTTTGGTTCATAAAATGAGAAACATCACTTGATATTCAGAAAGAGAGGTGGGGTGACTTATACGCAGCAGTAGTTTCTAAATTATTTTGTATTTTAACAAAATTAACATTTATCTTGATTATTGGCAATCCGAGATGCCAACTTCGTGTTACCTCTGCCACAGTAAAATTGCAACTAGTCTCAAACATACCTTGAAGCAGTCAGTCAATTCTAAACCCATACTTTCATATCTTTGCAACTTTCTCAGAAACATGAGGCTGAAATCTCTCATGCTTTCAGCCCAAAGGTGGAAAGCGCATGCATACTTGTATGTGAAAGCATCCACAAGAACAGCTGAGCTCTTTTTCAATTACATGAACTTGAATCTAGATCCAAACATATGTGCATTTCACAAGTCACATTTTCTAGGTAAAAAATGTACACTTGTGGGGGAAAAAATCTGCACTTTGCTAATCCAATTTCAAAATCTGCCATAGCGTTCAACGTGGAAGAGTATCTGATGTCTGTAGAAGTTTACTTATAATTTTATTTGTTAACAAATTTGGAAGAATAGAAACATCTGCATTACTTAAATGGAATATTTATTAATCTATTTAAGTTTGTTTCCAAGAACAATTTTTTTTTGGTCTTCAGAACAAAATTAACATGATGCTAGTCGAGATAATCATTTAAAGTTTTCCCTATGCACGTTTCCACCTCAAAGATTATTAGCTCAATAATTGTTTTAAAATCTAGTTTGCAAAAATGACAGCATGAATGGTGAAAAGTACTTCGTTAGCTTGCACAACAAAACCATTTAGTCAGTTTCATAAGCACATTGCTATTTGGGATATTAATCTTGCAGGAATTTTTACACATTGTTTCATGAAAAGAAAAATTCTATTAGGGTTTATAATACTTTACTATTTGATTCAGCATCAATGAAATCAGTGGAAACTTTATGGGCTAGTCTATACTTACAGTGCTGCACCAGTGCAGCTGCACCACTGTAGTGCTTAGTGAAGATGCTACCTATGCCGACGGGAGAGCTTCTCCCATTGACGTAGGTACTCCATCTCCCCAAGAGGGGATAGCTATGTGGAAGGGAGAAACCTCCCTTCAATACAGCACTGTCTACAACGAGAGCTTGGTTGGTATAACTTTTTAGTGTAGACCAGGGCTACCACTGACTTCAGTGAATAGAGTCAAGCCCTAAAACCTATATTTTTGGCTTAAATGCTGTAATGAGGTCTCCGCCTCTTTTTTGCACTTCAGTACTTCTTCCATAAATAAATCATTCAATGACTATTGACCAATCAAACTTGACTGTACCTACCTGAGAAACACCTGTGAACTCTGATCCAACAGAACTGTCTGTAAACTGGGTACCATTTAATGAAACCTAGAAAGCAACGAGAATAGACTGATTATAACAGCTAAGTATTTTTTGTTTTCTACGGCATCTTAGAGAGACTGGCACTTGCTACCACCACAATTGAGCCTATATTATAGCACTATAAGCCTTTTTCCAGAGGACTTGGAAGAGACATTTTTTTCCCCTTGTGTTAAAATTCTCCAGATACAAAAGTTAATAATGTGGCCATTTCAAAGTAGTGCCGTATGAGTAGGAATTGAATGGATCTATTGCAAATTCAATTCAAACACCAAATATAGAGGAAGTCACCCAGTGAAATGGATATAAGGACCAAAAATCTGATTGCCTGTTTTTTCAAGTTTTCAGGTTCATGTAGGCTTTTCATTAACTGTTCTGGGTTTTGTATTTTTATCATGTCAATTTACAAGAGTTTCACCTTTTGGAGGTTCTGCATAATATAGCTTAGAAAAATAGGTTTTCACATATTAGCTAAACAAGATTCTTTCCCTCAGAAAAACATTTTGAAATTAGATAATATATTTTAACGCCAGAAGGAACCACTTGGATCATCTAGGTTGATCTGCATAACACAGGCCATAGAATTTCATTCAGTAACACCTGCAGTAAGGCCATAGTCTCAAGTTAAACCAGAAGTTATCTTTTAGAAAGACTAATTTTCCGCTCTCCTCTCCATACACACCGAAGACCCTGAACTAAGCATTGCTTGATAAGCCACAAATGACACTATACGTCACTAAAACAGAATAAAGTGAAAATAGGACACAACTGTAAGTCAATGACATCACTCAAGAAAGAGGATGGCCTGGTTATGAAATTATCTAAGCACAAGAACAACAAGGAGTCCTTGTGACACCTTAGACTAAAATTTATTTAGGCATAAGTTTTCGTGAGCTAGAACCCACTTAATCAGATGCGTGAAGTGGAAATATAGGAGCAGGTATAAATACATGAAAAGATGGGAGTTGCCTTACCAAGTGTGAGGTCAGTCTAACGAGACAATTCAAATTAACAGTAGGATTCCAAGGGAGGAAAAATAACTTTGGTAGTGGTAATGAGAGTGGCCCATTTCAAACAGTTGACAAGACGGTGGGAGTAACAGTACAGGGATGGGGGATATTAGGTTTAGGTTTTGTAATGACCCAACCACTCCCAGTCTTTATTCAGGCCTAATTTGATGGGGTCCAGTTTGCAAATTAATTCCAGTTCTGCAGTTTCACGTTGAAGTCTGTTTTTGAAGTTTTTTTGTTGAAGAATTGCCACTTGTAGGTCTGTTACTGAGTGACCAAGAAGACTGAAGCGTTCTCCTACTGGTTTTTGAATGTTATAATTCCTGATGTCAGATGTGTCCATTTAGTCTTTTGCGTAAAGACTGCACGGTTTCGCCAATGTACATGGCACAGGGGCATTGCTGGCACATATCACACTGGTAGATGTGCAGGTGAACAAACCCCTGATGGTGTGGCTGATGTGGTTAGGTCCTATGAACAGATATGCGGACAGAGTTGGCACCAGGCTTTGTTGCAGGGTTTGGTTCCTGGGTTGGTGGTGTTGTGTCGTGTGGAGTTGCTGGTGAGAGAGAGATCGTCCTTCAGAATAGGTTGTAGATCCTTGATGCGCTGGAGATGTTTTAGTTGGGCTGTAGGTGATGGCTAGTGATGTTTTGTTACTTTTCTGGTTCGGCTGGTCTTGCAGTAGGTGACTTCTGGGTACCTTTCTGGCGCTGTCAATCTGTTTCTTCACTTCACCAGGTGGGTATTGTAGTTTTAACAATGCTTGATAGAGATCCTGTAGGGGTTTGTCTCTGTCTGAGGGATCAGAGCAAATGCAGTTGTATCTTAGAGCGTGTCTGTAAGACACTGGATCGTGTGATGTGGTCTAGATGAAAGCTGGAGGCATGTAGGTAAGTCGTCAATGTAGCGCAAGTAGAGTAGGGGCGGGCATTAGGGGATGAGAGCTGAGGAAGCATTGTTCTAAGTTAGCCATAAAAATGTTGGCATACTGTGGGGCCATGCGGGTACCCATAGCAGTGCCACTGACTTGAAGGTATAAATTGTCCCCAAATCTGAAATAGTGGTGGGTGAGGACAAAGTCACGAAGTTCAGCCACCAGGTGTGCCATGATAGTATCGTGGATGCTATTCCTGACGGCTTATAGTCCATCTTTGTGTGGAATGTTCGTGTAGAGAGCTTCTACATCCACAGTGGCTAGGATGGTGTTTTCTGGAAGATCAAAGGATTGTAGTTTCCACAGGAAATCAGTGGTGTCTCGAAGACAGGTTGGAGTGCTGGTAGCGTAGGGCCTGAGAAGAGAGTCTACATAGCCAAATAATCCTGCTGTCAGGGTGCCAATGCCTGAGATGATGGGGCGTCCAGGATTCCCAGATTTATGGATTTTAGGTAGCAGATAGAATACACCTCTAGAGCCCCGACCAGGGGTGTCAGCGTAGATTTGTTCCTGTGCTTCTTTAGGGAGTTTCTTGAGCAAATGGTGTAGTTTTTTTGGTACTCCTCAGCAGGGTCAAAGGGTAATGGCCTCTGGAACGTAGTGTCAGAGAGTTGTCTAGCAGCCTCTCATTCATATTCTGACCTATTCATGACGACTACAGCACTTCCTTTGTCAGCCTTTTTGATTATGTCAGAGTTGTTTCTGAGGCTGTGGATGGCATTGTATTCTGCACAGCTGAGATTATGTGGCAACTGATGCTGCTTTTCCACAATTTCAGCCTGTGCACGCCGCGGAAGCACTCTACATAGAAATCCAGTCTGTTGTTTCGACCATCAGGAGGAGTCCATGCAGAATTCTTCTTCTTGTAGGGTTGGTAGGAAGCTCTCTGTGGGTTAGTGTGCTGTTCAGGGGTGTGTTGGAAATATTCCTTGAGTTGGAGATGTCTAAAGTAGGATTCTAGATCACTGCAGAACTGTATCATGTTTGTAGGTGTGGTGGGGAAGAAGGAGAGGCCCCCAGATAGAACAGACTTCTGCCAGGCTAAGAGTATAGCTGGATAGATTAACAATATTGTTGGGTGAGTTAAGGGAACAACTGTTGTGGCCCCTTGTGGCATGTAGGAGTTTAGAGTCCTTTTTCCTCTGTAGAGAAGCAAAGTGTATGTTGTAAATGGCTTGTCTAGTTTTTTGTAAAGCCCAGCCACGAGGGAGTTTGTGTGGAAGGTTGTTTTTTTTAAGAGAGTTTCTAGGGATTTTTTACCTTCAGTCCTTTTGGTATGATGTCCATTTGTTTGCACTTGGAAAGGAAGATGTCTGTATCTGCACGAGTTTTTTCATGAAGTTGATGGATTTCCACTTCATAAGGCTAAATTCAGTGCCTTGCATGGTGACAGGTTTCAGAGTGGTAGCTGTGTTAGTCTGTATCAGCAAAAACAACGAGGAGTCCTTGTTCAGTCATTACATTCATGAGGTGGTGTACCTCAGTTTTCCTTCTTATACAGAAGACCAAGTTTGTAATGTTTCTCTGCTG